CTGGCCCATCCAGGGGGGCACACACTTTCTACTGCTCCTTCCACCCCAGACCAAACTGTGGCACGATACCTTCGGTACCCTGGACACAAACGCCAGGGGCGCTTGTCAGTGCATTTGTGCTGCTGCTTTTCTTGTACAAAGAACTATTTCTCTGTATACAACTGTATCAAGGTCTTTCTGGTTTCTGGGGGCATTTGCCTTTATAATCACTGATGCGTAGTAGAGAACATGACATGATGTTACATCATGCCTCAGGACTCGCGTACACTCCTTCCAAGGGGGAAGATGGAAAACAAACCCATTTATTTCCCGGCTGCCCCTGCATCACCCCTGTTTCCTTTCCTGCCGCACGGTCCACACTTGGAGACTGGTCTCTGCTGACTCGGGAAAGGGAGGCCACTGGCAATTGCAAAGAAAACTGCAAATGGAAAGGGCGAGGGTTTTTTCTCCCTTTCATTCTATTTAGTTGTTTCTCTGGGAGAGTTCTGGGTGAATATCACTATGAGTAAAATTTTATGTATTTTTATTATTAAGAAGTGAAAATTAGCATTCAGTGATTGTTTATCATCTTGCAAAATTCTAAAGATAAAGAATTTTTCATCTTTTAGACTATGGTTACATTGAAACTATCATTCACAGCCATTCAAATAACATTTTTTAGCAACATGAATTTTTTTTTGAAAAAGCTAAATTAGTCAAAGGAGAAGATAACTATTGTGTTTCATTCCAGATTATGTATAAGATAATTGAAATGTCTGCTATAAAAACTGGAGTCTTCAATATACTGATAACTTACTGCTGCAAATCTTGGATAGTTTCTGCTTCAAATGTGTCCCAAGGGTCTTTATCAAGTGCTAAAAATTACAGTGAACTTGTCCTCGAGGCGTGTATATTTGGAACAGTGTTCCGGCGTGATCAGAGGTAAAGGATGCCATTACTTCAGCCTCTCAAGACTTGAACTTATGTATCTGCTTGGGCAGAATTCTCTTTATTTTAAGGCTTTCCATTAGAAGAATATTAGTTAACTTTTAATTTGAGGCTTTCTTTTTTTCTGTCTGAAACTTACTGTTCTTTGTCACATTTTTTTTATGGAAAGACTTATTCAGGACGTACAGACCTTCGTAGAAAATCTTGGACACAATTGTGCAGCAAACATTGTTATTGAAAAGTAAGTCTGGTGGGTCTCCCCTGCCTTGGTATCACTGGAATATTCAAAATACAACATCATATGAGAGACATTCTGTATGAGATATTGAATGAGACTTCAAAAGTGTGTTAGAAATTTTATCCCCTCGCCAATACATTTTCTTCAGACCTGTCACTATTTACCAACATTCGATAAAAGTTAAAAAAAAAAAAGTGTAGTGCAAAATCCAGCATAAATAAGGAAATAACAGTGGGGGACATAAAATCCCTATCCTTCTTCTTTTTGGGGGTGGAGGGGTGATCATCAGCACATATTTTATTTTTTGGCTAAAATTCACAAGCCACTATGCTTGCACAAAAGTAAGATTATTGTAACGGGCCCTGGAGTTTTGGTTCCTGGGATAAGCCTATTCTTCTCCAAGTGCTGAATTAATTTTTTTGTAGCTTTTTAAAAAGCTTTATTTTCTCACATAATTTTCAGGAACTTGTGTGTGTAGGTGTTTATGAAGAAGTTAATAGTGTTGTCATGATTCACTTTGATTTTAGAGTTTAGGACAAGAAATGATCATTGTGTCTAGCTATCATAAAGTGTTTATTATCCTAAGAGTCATAGCTATGTTTTAAATCATCTCCCTCTCTTCATTAAATATATACTGTTATCATTGTTAATTGTTTTAATTGATTTTTTATTTTCTTGGCTGGCTTAGTGTAGCAGTAAGTGAGATTTCTTAGTTGACAGTTCCAAAATATTTTGGTTTCTACTAGACAGATGTTTTATTGTGAAATTCAAATAACATTTATTCACATTATAACAATTGTAATGAACTTTGGAAATGCTTATGAAGAATTTCACTTAATTGATCTGTCCACATTTGGGTACTGGAAATGCTAGGATGCTCAGTGCACACAGTGCTCCCTGAGTCTGCCCCTCACTTAGAAAATGTGTGTTTGAGCTCGTCCCGAGCAAATAGGTGTCTGTGGTCCTCTTCCAGGAGCAGTTTCATATGATCTGTCTTGTCCACAGATATTACCAACCCAGTATCAGTAGTCTGCATCGTTTTCCCAGGTGTCTGGTTGAATTTGTGCTCATTCAGAGTTTCTGCACAGGTTCTCCATTTTTTTTTTTTTTGAGAGGGTAGGTGATTAGGTTTATTTATTTACTTACTGGAGGTACTGGGGATTGAACCCAGGACCTGGTACGTGCTAAGCAGGCACTCTACCAATTGAGCTATACCCTACCTTGCTGCTAGGCTCTCCTTTTGATAATATTTGTTGTCTTTCCCTGTCTATCCTGAATTAAAAAGCATTGTCATTATGAAGCTACTTATTTTTAGAAAACTTTGGAAAGTTTTGATATTTTGAAACTAATATTTAACGTACATTTTATTTTGAAAATGTATTAATGTAATCTGTCATTTTATATTTTTCAGTACTAAAAGAGAGGACCATTATGTGAGAATTTGTGCCATCAAATTCCTGTGTTTATTAGATGGCTCAAATATGTCTCATAAGTTGTTTATGGAAGATCTTGCAATCAAGCTATTAGATAAAGTAAATATGCTTTATCTTACTTTAAAGTATCTTGGTTTTTGTGTAGTTAACAAGTTAAAATCTAGCAGTTACTCCCTCTGTTGACACAATGTGTATTTCTAAGTATTTTCCATCAAGAAAGAAATGGGGTTTATGTTCCATGTTTTCAGTTAACTCTTGGTTAGTAATTGTCCAACTTGTTTGGTTTTAGAGAACAGTGTTTTCTCTACGCTAGCTAAACTTCACCCTGTATATTTTCCCATACCAGTTAGAACCAATTATATTTCGTGTGATATATCCATACATCCTTTTCTGTAAGAAATGGAATGAAAAGGTCAACAATTAGGAAGTGGCGTAATGGGAAGAATGGATTTTGTTGAGCCTGCGAAAGCGTTTGTAAGTGAACGTCACACTGTCTGAAGAATATGTTCCTAAATCAAGGCGGGGAGAAAAGGGCACGGTCGAATATAGTGCTATTCTGAATTAGAAGCCAAGGTAGATGTGTTGCTTGATCTGCTTTCTAAACTCTGGGGTGGGCCCTGGGATGGAGCTGATGACCACGGAACCCACTGAAGTCACTGTGTTGAAAGAGCAGTGTTTATGGTACATTTGTTTCTGAAGGTAGCAGATCAGCTCATTATAGGAAACCTAGGGCCTTTTTAATGCAAAAACTCCCTCCTTTGCACTGTTGGAATCAGGGGAGACATCTCAGAGGTAACAGTGTTTTACTGGTTTCCTGAAGGGTAAGTAGGATTTAAAGCAGTGGGATACTCCATCGGGTAAAACACGAATGCATGTTATCTTGTGTGTTGCTGTGTAGTATAAACTGGAGGAGTATTCGGAAGAAAAGTAAAACAGAATAAGGAGGGAGGGGTAACTGTTTAGATAGAGGGTCAGAGAGGGCCTCCCACGTACTTGACATTGGCTGATCTCTGGGTGAACTGTCAGTGAGGCGGGAGGGTACCAGAGAGGATGGTGTCCCGGGGCCAGATGAGGAGGGTGCTGCCTGGAATGGTTGTCCAGCACAGTAATTCCTGAAGCGTGTCCTATGGACCAGCAGCAGCAGCATCACCAGGGAACTCGGAAATGCAGATTCCTAGGCCCTGTCCCAGTCTACTGAATTGGATGCGGGGTGGGGCCCAGCCCTCTGTGTTCTGACCAGCCTTCAGGGGGACCCTGAGGCGCTCTGGCTGCAGGGAGGGCTCCACGAAAGCTGGAATGCGTGTTAGTGACATCAGCTGGGGCAACTTGAAAGTAGGGCCAGAGAAATAGATGAGCACGTTTATACTGTACAGCACAGAGAACTACAGTCAATATCTTATAGTAGCCTAACAATGAAAAAGAATATGAAAACGATTATATGTAAATTCATGAATGACAAGCATTGTGCTGTACACTAGAAATTGAGACAACATTGTAAACTGACTATACTTCAATAAAAAAAAGAAAGTAGAGGCAGAGAATCTAAGACTACTGGGTTCATACAAAAGTGGGGAATTTGCAAATGGTTTGAGGTTGTAGTGAGAAGAATTGAATGTGCTCTTGAAGATCTTGTGGAGATTATTTTGGGGTCCAGGTTGGGCAGGAGGCATGTAAAAAACTAGAGAATACTGCTAGACTGGTAAAGGGACAGAAGATTTTGAGCTGAAAGGGGAATTTCAGCACGTCCCAGTTAGGACAGTGACTCCAGTGAGGCCCTGATGGCAGGTTTACTGGAGTCAAGGTGCCGCACCTGAGTGCAGATGGGATCTGCCCTCGCGATTCTGGTTTTAGCTGCATTGAGGCGAAGCAGTACGTGAACCCTAAAACAACCTTTATCAAAAGAAACTTCCCAAAAGAAAGGTTGATAGTAGAGGAAGTTATGAGAGTTCCATCATCGTCAAGAGTCATTAAAATCTTTATTAACTTAGCTGTCATAAAATTTAATATGCATTCAGATGTACAATTTGGGATGACGGAAGAAGAAAGATCACAGAATTTACAAAGTAGATGAGAATTATCTGCATTAGATGAAAATTCATTGGGAGGTGGTGGATGAAGTTTTCATCGAGCACATTTGAAAATGTTAATTCTCTCTTTAGTGTGATCTTAACTTAGCAGCTAAAGCACTAGCAGCCATGTGACAGAAGTAAATCTGGCATTTGGGTGAATTTGAACAGCGCAGACCAGGAAAGCAAGGGAGAGCCCTGCTCACGTGGGAACTCAGTGCTGCCGCCTCTGGTGTCTGGTGTTGGCAGTGCGCCATCCGCTTGCCGGGTGCTCCTGTCTTAACGGTATTGACATCAAATTTCAGGGGCCTTATCCCAGACTTACAGTCATAGGCACATGGAAGGAGCAGGGCCTTAGGGCGCACCGTGATGTATGTGAACTGTGCCCTCTCCCCCTGTGACCCTCATCCCCCCCTCAGCCGGGCACAGGAAGCAGAAGTGTGTTTCCAAGGACTGTTTGTACTCAGTACAGCTTTATGGTTCCTTTTCTAATTTTAAAAGCAGATAAATTAAACAAAAGCAGCTAAATCATTGTTTTGAAAGGAAACCAAAGAAAGTATCATCAAACTTATTTACGAAATAGAAACAGACTCACAGACACAAAACAAACTTAGGTTACCAGAGGAGAAGAGGCGGGGAGAGGGCTAAATAGGGCTTTCAGGATTAACAGACGCACACTACTGCTGTGTGTATGAAGTAGGTAAGCAACGAGGTCCCATTGTACAGCACAGGGAGCTTATATTCATACCTTGTAATAACCTATAATGAAAAAATATGAAAGAGAATAATATATACACACACACACACACACACACACAGTAACTTTGCTGTACACCAGAAACTAACCTAATATTGTAAACTGACTATACTTCAATTAAAAAAGAATGAAGTATCATCAGAAAGTGTCTTTCTTACTCTTCTGCCTCCTGGAGGGTAGCAGGCTCCTATGCCCTGTTCAAACCTTTTAAATTTGAAGTTGTCGTTGGTTTTGTTTTCATTAATCACAAAATCAGAAGGTAATTTAATATTGGTCTCACTGCCCCCAGGATGAGTTGGTGTCCAAATCTAGAACTCGATACTATGTGAATTCTCAGCAACACAGAGTGAAAAACCGGATATGGCAGACCCTGCTTGTACTTTTCCCCAGATTTGACCAGGTATAGTATTTACTATGTTTGTACCTTTAAGCACGATGTTTTCACATGAGTAAACTGTTTAGTAGAAACTGTCATGGGCTACTTTAAAACTGAGGAAGTAATCTGCTTAAAATTTATACTTCCGTTCTTAAAATTGAAGTTATCCAGAAGTTTTTGTTTCTAACAGAAAAAAGACTAAGGCAATTAGGTTCTGTAGAAGTAAGCTGGAAACTGATTTACATGGCCCCAGGTAATATTTTTCCTTCAATATTTTATTGTAATATTTTTTAAAAGTCTGTATACCACAGTAAAGCTTTGTTCTGCTTTTAATAGTGACTATTAAAATTAATAACCATTTTCAAAGTTGCTAAGAGACTAGATTTTAATTGTTCCCACCACAAAAAAGAAACGATTATATGATGTGATACTGGTGTTAGCTAATGCTGCTGAAGTGGTAGTCATACTGTAATATATAAATGCACCAAATCAATGTGTACCTTGAAGTTACACATTATATGTTAAATTTATCTCAATAAAAATTAAAGTCAAAAAATTTAATAACCATAACAGTTTAATTTGTGAACTTTATTTTTCTCAGAATTTCTTGAATAGAATTATCGACAGGATTTTCCAGGCTGGCTTCGTCAATAATCAAGCATCTATAAAATATTTTATAGAATGGATTATTATACTGATTCTTCATAAATTCCCTCAGTTTCTTCTGAAGTTCTGGGACTGTTTTTCTTATGTAAGTAAAGGAGATTTTTCTTTCTTTTTTTCTTTTTTGTAAGTAAGAAAAGATTTTGGCTATGTTGGGGGATTGTTCACTTTAATAGTTGTTTTTTGACTGTCAATTGCCCTGCCCATAAGGTACTGACATACTAAATTGTGTTTTGCAGGATTTGAATTAATTTAGGAGACAGAAATCCCTGGCATTTTTCTTGAGTGTAGCATAATTTTGATTTGAGAGCTCTTCTGTTCCAACAAAACAAAGATGAAAAAGGCTTCTGTTTTTAAGAAGTAAGGAAAATAGGTGCCTTCTATAGTCTTATTTACCAGGCAGTGTCTTTGTTTGATCTTAGAAAGAAGAATGATGAGAAATTAAAGCTTTCCTTACATTTTAAAGAATTTCTTCATAGGGAAATTTCAAATATACCCAAAGCAGAGAGAGTAGAAGGGTGCCCCCATCACCCAGCTGAAAGCAAATACCAGTTCACTTGCACTCTTACTTCATCTGTGCCCCCACTCACACCTCTGGCTCCCTACTGCCCAAAGCTCCTTATATCTTGAAAATCATTTCTAAGAAATCGGCACTAAGATTAGTGGTAGAGTTTACAGTTACAGGCTTCCTGTTGGAGACACCACCCGCAAACTGTCTCTTTATGTTTCTTCCTTCCTGTTCCAGGGGAAAAATTGTGTTCTTGTTTTCACATCCACATCTGCGTCCTTGTTTGTATTTCCTTCTGGGACTTCACCCTGTAAAGTAAAGTTCTTCACTCTTATCCTCTTGGCTTGTCCTCCGTCTGGCCATCATCCTAGAGTCTTTTCTTTCCTACTAAACTTCCAGAGGGAGCATCTTTGCCTTTCCCTCTTGCTCTCCTTGAGCCACGGTGGCCCGCTGCATCTCCGGAAATCGTGCACTGGGGATTTCTTGTGCAGCTGCAGACAGCCTTTTCTTTCTCTTCATCTTTCTTACCAGCACCCAGCCTTTCACGTTGACAGACACCTAGCAGCCCCCTGTCCTTCTCTCTCTGCACTCTCTGCCTTGTCAGCCCCTTCTCCGCTGGTTCCCTGCACCTCCAGCCACCTCCCTGGCGCTCTCTCTCATTATCACGTCCAAGTTCAACGTCTGGAACACGAAATCGATGCCAGTATCTCCCCCTAAAATTGGCTCCCCCGTGTTGTCCTTCATCGTCCCTGGCTCCTCGGCTGAAACTTGGAGTCACAGTGAGCATAGCCACGTCATCCTCACGGTCGTCCTGAAAGACAGGGTGGGGTTTGCACTCTACTTCGTGGAAGAACTGAAGTTCAGAGAGATAAGTGGCCTCCAAGAAATGACAAAGCTCTGCTTCAGTGTCTGTTTAATGTCAAATGCCACGTTCTTTCCACTGTTTCAAGGTTCCTCTCCTGGCCCTTCCTTTTCCTCTTCATGTCTGTGTGATTATGAAAAACAGTTGTCATTTTTCCTTGAATTGCTTCTCAGATCTGCTGCTTTATTAATCTAGCTTGTTTTGTCTGCTCTCAGGAATTCCCACGAAATGCAGCTTGGCCCAGGTGGAGGTCCACGCCTTCCTGGCTCATGTGTCCCCAGGAACGCCAGCACTTCTGTCAGGTGTTTCCCCTTAGCTCAGTCTCTCAGTTTTCATAAAGACCTTGCAGATCTGGTCTCCTTTTTCACTGTGAGCAAGTAAAACACACACTGATTGAATCAGACGGGATTTAAAACAACAGTGGAGAAGGAGGAAGTTAGGTAACTTACACAATGCCTGGAAAACTGCAGGATCCGGCTTGGAAAACAGGCAGGAACAAGGTGGGGCTTCCAGACCTGCAGCCACAGGTGGGCTATGGAGCCAGGCCACCAGGGACCGAGCTCTGTCCCTCTGCCACGTGCGTGGAGGGAGGTTCTCTGCGGGCTCTGCCTCCCCAGGTTACGAGTTCTCAGCCCAGCAACCGGGGTGGGTGTCTCTGGGTCACGGTGCCTTCTCTTTAGCTGCAGGGAGGCTGGGAAAATAAATACATGGCCTTTCCAGCCTCTCACTAGACCTGTAAGGTGGAAGAACTCCCTGATCTTGGAAGGGGATTCAGAATAGATCTCCCCCAAAAGGGCAATCAGTGTCCACTACACCTTTTTCCTCCTTTATTCGAAGCAGATGACCTTAACTTTTGTTTTAGAGAAAACAGAAGTCACCACATAGGAGCACCTGTACTTTCTCAGGAGCAGTCATACAGCACACAGACCTGCCTGTGGCTGGCCAGGCCTGCCTCCCTCCCACCGTCCGGGACCTGAACCTGCTGCTCAGGCCACCCGTCCTCTTGCTCTCTGGCTCCTGTCCCCCCGTCTTCTCAGGGCCCTTCAGCTGTCAGTCTCTCCTGCACTCAGTGTCTTCCCTGGAACTCGGTGGTTTCCGCTGACTTTGAAACCCGTCTCATCCTTGTTATGGGTGTCACGTCCCCTCCTGTAATCGCCTACCTCACTGCGGTGTCTTCCTGGAGGAGGTGTCTGTAGTCCACAGTTTCGTGGGGTTTTTTTCATATTCTCCCCGCCCGCCATTCAGTCCAGTAGACCGGCTTGCAGCCCAGTCACTGCCCGGAAGACCCTGTTGGCGGGTCATCCTCTCCACCCGTCCACGCTGCTGACGCCTTGCGTGTTCCCTGTTCTTCCTCCCCCTCTGTTCCCTCTGTTCTGTTCCTTTCCAGGCTTTTCCTTCCCTACCCAGCTATTCAGTGTTAGTGCTTCTCAAGGCTGGGCTGCTTTCTTTCCTTAGTTTATCCTTGTTCTATAGTCAGTGTAATCTCGGTCATGGATTCACGTATTATCTGAGGTGAACGACCCACTAATTTATATTTCTGTTCCAGACACCTTCAGCTAAGTGCTCAGTCAGGGCTGGCTAGCTCCAGCCAAGCTGGGCCTGGCTGGGTTTTACGGGGACACAGCAGCCATGCCCATCATGTCCGTGTCATCTGTGGCTGAGTTGGTGCCCAAGTGACAGTGGACAGAGCCGTGGACCTCACAGCTACACTTTTATTTAGTGCTTGGTTGACAGAAAAGCTTTGCTGACCTCTGCTCTAGACATCTTTCTTGAATGCTTGTAAATCATCTTAAAACTTGGATGTCAAACACTACATGCCTTATTTTTTCCTTTAAACTTGATCCTTTTCCTCCTCTGGCAAACAGCACCACCACCTACACGGTTGCACAAACCAGAAAACGGGACTTTTCATGCTGCGCGTCTGATTCGCGACCAGGTCTTGAATGTTTCTCGCTACCTGTCGTCTGTCGCCACATTGTGCCTTGGTCCAAGCCGCAGTGATGCCTGCTCTCTTCCCTCACTGGACCACCTGATCCACGTTTGCCCCCCTTTCAGTCTCGTGTCCACATGGCACAACCAGAGCAGACTCTTCCCCATGGACCTTGGATGAGGTTACCCACCTGCTCAAGACATCGCTCTCAGAACAAGGACCGAAAGTCTTGAGACTGGCCCGCGGGCCTTACATGGTCTCCTGCCTCCTCCCTCCTGAGTCCCGTGTGCACCCCCCACACCCACACTTCAGTCACGCGGATTGTCTCGGTTTTCTGTTACTAGAACACTCCAAAGGCCGGCAGTGTCCACAATGAAGTCTTACTGCTTTTCCTGATTGTGGGCTGACGGGCCAGGCTGAGCAGGTCTGCATGTGGTCTCTGCTGGGCTGGGACTTGGGGGTGACTTCTGCACTCCCCCCGGTGTTTGTCACCTCCGCGGCAGCAGTGGGGACAGCCGTGGTGGCCAGGCATTGCTGTCTCTGCGTGTGTCCAGCAGGGGAGCTGGACCTCTCTCTCTGGTGGCGCAGGGCTCTGAGAATGAGCGTCCCAGGAGGCTGAGTCTTGCTGTGCTGGTACTGACCCAGCCTCTCAGTGCAGCCTGCAGGCTCGTGGCTCATCCCGGCAGCCCCCCATGGGGAGGGGCCTGATGACCATGAAGGAAGCTTGCTTCACGGGGACCACCCAGGTGACTGAGCCCCACTCTCCCCTTTCCCGACCCCTCCTCCTCTTGCTCTCAGGCCATTCCTGCTGTGCCCTCTGCCAGCAGCGCTCTTCTTTCTCCTCTTTGTCTGCACGGTGGCTCCTTCACGTGTCATTTGTGTCCTTTCTTGGAGGAACTTCCCTCCCTGAGTAGTTCGGACCCCTTAGGGTGGCTTTTTGCAGCACATCAGCAGTGCTTTGATAATAGGAATTCTCATTTATTGTCTGGTTTGGTGTCTTTCCTTCCCACTAGACTGAGCTCCACGAAGGCAGGAGCCTTGCCTGTTTCTTTTTCCCTCTTTCTGCCACAGTAACTGGCACATGGAAGACATTCAGTCACTACTCGTGAAGTGAAGGAGTTCAGTCTGTTTACCCTTTGGAGCGGTTTCTGCCCTGGAGTGTCTGGAGCCCTTTTCCGGTCTACCTGACGTCTGCCAGCTTTTCATGATTAAAATAACGTGTAATTTCAAATTGCTGTTGTCGGGGAGGTTTCTGAATTCCCGTTTGACGCTCTAAGCAGCTTTTCATCATGGCTTCTGAAGGCGTCTCCAAGGTCCCACCTAAAATTTGAGCCTTGTCTCTGCCGCCCCCTCCACACGCCTGCCTTTGCCTCCATTTTCGGCGTCTCTGTTCGTCTTGCTTATTTTCACCTGTTCCCCGCCTCCCGCCCCCGCCCTGTCCTTTCCTCCCCACGCCGCCCTGCCTTTCCAGCCAGGCCTCCCCGTCCTGAAGGCCCCGCCTCGGCCGCCCCGCCCGCACCCTGGCTCCTCCGCTTCCTCCGTGGCTGAGCCGTCAGCCCCTCGTGGTGTCTGCTGAGTGTTGTGTGAGCTGGCATTTGGCTCTCAGACCTTACTTTCTCCTCTTTGCTTTTGCTCCGGCCTCCCCGCCCAGGTCACAGCTGCGTCAGAAAGGGACGGCCTCACGACCGGGGGCCCATAGCGTCCAGCACAGGGCCCTCACGTGCACGGGCTCACAGTGAGACTTGAGTGACGCTTCTGTTTATCTGTTTTTTTTTTTTCCAGGGGGAAGAAAACCTGAAAACAAGCATTTGTACGTTTTTATCAGTTTTGTCACATTTGGACATCATTACTGAAAACATTCCAGAAAAGGTGAGTTTCAGTTGTTTGTAAGAAGAGTTCAAACTTGACTGTCAAAATGGAATTTATATATGTACTAATTTTTTTTTCCTGGAGTATTCCTGATGTGCTTTGCAACTGCCCCCTTCCCTTCCACGCTCCTCCTTAGGCCCCACCGCACAGTAAGGTATCCCTCACGTGCACACACACACTGAGGCATGCCTGAGCACATATTAAATCTTTAGATAAATTAATGGGCAATTTTTAGTGGTAGATTCTTAATTTTATGCAAGTATTTATGTGAGATTATTTAAATAGGACTTCCCTTGTTGCATCTAACTGTTCCCTGGCCGGCAGAGTTACTTAGCAGATGCTTGTTCAAAGAAATTTCTGGGCAGGGTACTAACGGCTGTCGTGTCATTGACTGTCATTATGTGGAGTGTGAAGGCCAGTCCTTCCATCTGTCTCAGGTTTAGCACATCTTCCCTAGTGGTTTACCATGCAGATAAGTAGAGATCTTAGTTAATTCTGGTTGATCACTATGGCAACGAGAGGAATTTAGGAAAACCTGTCAGTAAGATTTAGAGCAAGTTTCTATTTTATTGCATCTACAGAGAATGTACTGACAGTGTTGCAAACTCAAGGAGAAACTTAATATAGTGACCCTCGCTCAGTGCCGAAGTTAGGGGCAGTGGCCCTCCGTGCAGTGGCAAATCCACGTGTAACTGTGCATTGCACGTGTACTCCACGTGTAACGTGAGGCTCGCAGTCAGTCAGCCGTGGACCACGGAACCTTGTCGTACATGTCCAGTGACAGAATTCCTCCTATAAGTGGACTTGGGCAGTTTAAACCCCTGTTGTTCAGCGGTCACTTGTATGAAATAAGAAATGTCATTTAGTCTTGAAAGTGAAATAAAAATATTGAGGGAGTAGGTTTCTTAGAATTTTCAAAGGGTTCTTGTCTTTAATCATGATAACAATCAAGGTTTGTTGTTAATCTGTTTCATCAATCCTAAGACAGACCTTTCTCCCCACCCCATTTTAACCTCAAAAACCATGCTATTTTTAAATTGATGGTGTGGTGCAGTGTCTGTCAGCCTGATGGCAGTGTGTTAGTTACAGTCAGGTAAGAACTCGTGCTAACACCTTCTGCTAGGAGTAAGGAAGCTCTGGCTCAGAAAACGTCAGATGTTATCTTTCTATTAAGCACGTGCGATTTATTGAGAGACCTAAGATAGACAAGAAACTGTACTATTGCAGGGTAGAAATAGCTCAAGAATAGTTAAAAAAAGTTCTGAAAATGAATTCAGTGTAGAATGTGTTCACGTTAGATCTGGTGTAGATAACATAACTAATGTGTTATTTTTCCATTAAGCTCTTTTTATACTTACTGTGTATTACATATTTTAGGTTTATTTCTTTATTTTCTGGACATCCAAAAAGAGAATGCTGACATCTTCTGGGAAAACAAAAAAAAAAAACTAAACTACACTGAGATACCTAAGGTCTAACTACTTTAGTTAGTCTCTCCATTTCTCATTTATGAAGTCTGTTGGTATTTGATAAGTGTGTTTTTGTTTGACGACTTCTTTGAAACAGTCACTTAAGACTTTCTGTTTCAGTTTTTTCCCCGAAGTGTGTAACTTACCCTGTATATGGAACCCGCAGGTGTGATGAAAACGCCTCTTCACCTCTCTGGTCTCCCTCCCA